TGCCCCTGAAGTTGTGCTTTTCCAGGATGCCATATAAATGTAATCTTACAGTATGGTGTAGCCTTTTATGTCTGGCTTATTTTACTTGGAATAATCCATGCTATTGCATGTATTAATAATTCATTCCTTTTTATTGCTGAGTAGTATTCCATTGTATAGATATATGGAAGTTTTGTTTATCCACTAAGCAGTTGATAAACACTTATATTCAGTTTTTGGTGATTATGAATAATACTGCTATAAACATTCACAGTCAGGACATATGTTTTAATTTTCTTGGGTAAATACCTAGGACTGAGTCATATGGTAAGTGTATATTTAACTATAAAATTTACAAAAAACAGCTGAAGTGAGTCTACCATTTTGCATTCCCACCAGCAGTGTATGAGAGTTTTTCAGTTATGACGTGTCTTTGCCAATCCTTGGTATTGTTAGCATTGTTTTGAATGTAATTTTAGCCAATCTTATAGGTATATGAAGACATCCTAGGGCGGTTTCAGTTTCTCTAATGGCTAATGAATTGAGTTTCTCTCACGTGCTTATTAGTTAGCCATCTGTATACCTTTGGTGAAATGCCCATTTTTTTAAATTGGGTTGCTTGTTTCCTTATTGAGTTATAAGACATTCTGCATATAAATCCTTCATCAGATACATATTCTCCAAGTCTGTGGCTTATGTTTTCATTCTCTGAAGTGTCTTTTGAGGAGAAGTTTCTAGTTTTGATAAAGCACATTTTATCATTTTTTTAAAGATTTATTTTTATTTTAGAGAGAGAGCAAGAGCATAGGGGAAAGGGGCCGGGGGAGAGGGGGAGAGAGAGTCTCAAGCAGACTCCATGCTGAGTGCAGAGCCTGAAGCAGGGGCTCAATCTCACAACCCTGAGATATGACCTGAGTCAGAACCAGGAGTCGGATGCTTAACCGACTGTGCCACCCAGGCGCCCCTATCATTTTTTTTCTTTTATGCTACTTTTTGTGTCACTAAAAATCTCTGTGTTCCAGGATTTTCATAGGTTTTTTCCTTTGTTCTGTAAGTTTTATAGCTTTAGGATTTACATTTAGACCTGTGATCCATTTTGCATTAATTTTTGTATGTGATGTGAAGTATTGGCTGAGCTTCATATTTTTGCATAGGTATGGATGTCAAGTTAATTGTTCCAGTCCCATTTCTTTTATTCTCTTTCTCCATTAAATTATCTTCTCAACTTTATTGAAACCAATTGGCCATGTATGTGTCAGTCTATTTCTGGATTCTGTTTTGTTCCATTGATCTATTTGTCTACCCTTTGACTAATATTGCAGTGTGTTATTTTAGAGATGATTGTGTTAAATGTTAAGAATGCTGTTGGCGGGGCACCTGGGTGGCTCAGTCGTTAGGCATCTGCCTTCGGCTCAGGTCATGATCTCAGGGTCCTGGGATCGAGCCCCGCATCCGGCTCCCTGCTCGGCAGGAAGCCTGCTTCTCCCTCTCCCACTCCCCCTGCTTGTGTTCCCTCTCTCGCTGTGTCTCTCTCTGTCTCTGTCAAATACATAAAAATCTTAAGAAAAAAAAAAAGAATGCTGTTGGCATCAGGGAACAGAAAACCCTATTAATAGTGGGTTTATTTTCTGTTACAACACGAAGTATAGCGATAAGTAGTTGTTGGTTTGTTTAAGCTATTCATCAATACCAGGAGTCAATAAACTACAGTCTGCTGGCCTAATCTGGCCTGCCAACTATTTTGTAAATCACCTGTGGCGGTTCTTCAAAATGCATATGCCCAGGCTCTACCTCTGAGACTGATTTACTTGTTAGGTTGGGACCTGAGGGGATGGAGGGAGGAGCACATATTTGAATTTTAACATGCTTCCTGGTAATATTTGTTATTATGCTGTGTAGTCATGGTTAAGAACACTTCCCCCTAAATACTTCAACATGCATTTCATTAAATAGTTTCACTTTATTTACAGCTATTTTTTTTTTTAGGTATGCACAATGATATATGCACATTTTAGGCAAACATTCTCCGAGTTTTGACAAATGTGCACAGTTGTTTAATGGAGACTCCGATCAAAATTACATTACTATTATCCCAAAATGTCTCATGCTCCTTCTCAATCTGCCCTCTTACCCAACATGCAGAGACAGCTACTACTCTGATTTTTTCCACCATGGATTAGTTTTGCCTGTTGTAGAACTTCATAGAGTTGGAACCATACAGTGACGCAAGGCTTCTCTCACGCAGCATGTTTTAGAGATTCACCCATGGTGTTGCTTGTGTCACGAATTTGTTCCTTTTTGTTGTTGAGCAACACTCCCATTTGTTAAATGTACCACAGTCTGTGTATCCATTCCCCAAGATCAATACCTGGAATAAAGCTGTCACGAACATTCAAAAAAAAAAAAAAAACCCATTAACCTAAAGTTAGTTCTTAGAGCATGGTCCCCAGACTAGCAGTATCACCATCTCCTGGAAACTTTTTAAAAATGCGGATTATCAGGTCCACCCAGACTCACTGAATTGGAATTCATTTGGGGCCCAACAGTTTGTGTCTTAAAAGTTCTCCAGGTGCTTCTGATGCATGCCAAAGTTTGAGAACCCTGAAAGGCATTGCTGAATGTTTCCTAGATAAGCCTAGGGAAAACTGTCTTTAAGAAAAGCGAACAACAGATGAGCGCCTGGGTGGCTCAGTTGGTTAAACGTCTACCTTCAGCTCAGGTCATGATCCCAGGGTCCTGGGATCGAGTCCCACATCAGGCTCCCTGCTGAGTGGGGAGTCTGCTTCTCCCTCTCCTTTTCCCCCCTGCTCATGATCTCTCTCTCATTCACTCTCTCTCTCAAATAAATAAGATCTTTAAAAAACAAACAGGGTTCCTTGCTAGCTAAGTCAATCGAGCATGCAGTTCTTGATATCAGGGTCATGAGTTCAAGCCCCATGTTGGGCATAGAGATTACTTAATAAAAAAAATATTTTTAAATAAAACAAAACGAAGAAAACTGGTTTAAGTATGTATATTATTATGTCACAGACAGTAATTTTGAAATTAGATTGAAGGTTCACAAATCTAACATAATTGTTCAGTGCTTGTATTGACCCTAATCATCCAAAGCATATGAGTACTGTATTGACCCTAATCATCCAAAGCATATGTTGCATTGCTGTCTTTAAACAGCTTTTAAAAATCAGCATGTTTGTGTGTATACATTTCTTTTTCCTAGTCTTTAAGGAAGAGTTGAGGAAGTAGAAGGCAGTTCTTATGTTTATAGACTTTATAAACGAAAGAAGAATGCAAGATAAACATGTATAAACACAAAATACAAGCATATAAACATGTTTTCTTTCAGGTTTAGGTGTATTTTTATTGATGAATATATGAAAATGTAGGCAGCCTATCCAACAGGAAACATGAGCTTAATTACCCTATAAACCAAAGAACAAAACAGTACTTTGTAACATGTAAAATATAATGTCTTCTCTTTGATTTAGTTTGCTCTTTTGGTGATAGTCTCCCCAGTTATAATTACTAATTACACAAACATGGAGTCTAATATCTTTTTTCCATCTGTGTTCAGGAAGCTGTAACTATCCTACTTCTGTTCTTTTTCCCCTTGGAAAACAGTTTAGGTTCAATTAGACTATCTTTTGTTTACTGCAGGTGATGCAGTAATTGCTCTCCAGTTCTGAAAGAATGAGAGGGTAATTGGAACTAAGCTGTGGTTTGTTTTTTTGATAGCTTAAAAAACTTCTGAAAGTAGAACTTCTGAAAGAAGAAATTTGCATTCATGGATGTGTAGGATCAGGCGTAACAAACAATTAAAATTACTTGACCCACTTGTAGTTCCATTAGCAGTAACTGTAAACATAAAATGAAGTTCAGGGAAATAGACATTGTCACTGAAGCCACAAGGCTGAACACCCGTGTGGCCCTTATTTCCAAGGCAAGAGTAGCTGACATGTTAGATTTCGTTGGGAAAATGTCAGCAAAAAAAGACTTAAGACTCTTTCCCAATTATAATTTACAGCCAAAGGAACTTGAAGCTTATAGAGTTATAAAAAAGTGTTTGAACTGAGTTCTTTGGTAGTCCAGAGGTATGTCTGTTATTATTGGAATTTTGCTTCTAACTTTTGTGTTGATTTGACTGGAAAGACCTCATTCTTTTTAAAACAGTCTCCTAGCCCCACCCGTTCTACCTTTTTGTCAGGTTTTGGTCTTCAGAAAGCCTCCTAAATCAGCACCCTTTCTTGATCATGACTTTTTCTAAATTGTTTTGTTAAATTTTTTTTAGTGTTTCTTGAATAAGCATTTAGTGACAATACTGGGTTTTGTCACTTGTGGTTTTCCTTAGCATTGGCCAGTCTTCACTTGATTTTGCACTTGTTTACTTCCTTATTGAGCAACTAATAATAAACCATCATGACTCTAGAAAAACACTTGACATTGAAATGGAATGCTTCTCCTCAGGCCATTTTATACATACCAGCTTTATTCAGGTGCCTCAGAACTTTAAGAAACTGTTCATATCAAAGGAGTCTCCCTTAGAATTACAAGAGACTGACTTTTATATAGTAGGAGTAGTAAAATACATGTGAAAATTTATTACCTAATCAGTCTGTTTCTATGATAACTTTTGCAAGCAAACACATTTTCCCTGTTTCTTAAAGATTAGAGAAGCCCCTAAAGATACGCCTCTTAACAGATTATTTCTCACCAGACAAGTAAGATTACAGATATTTTAATTGTTAGTTGAGGCCACTGTAGAAAAGTTTCAGGAACACTGTCACATACATTTCTGGGCAATAATCTCAAATTCACTATACACTTTTTCCATGAAAAAAGAAGAGAGCAGCTGCAGCTCTTATTTATTGCAGATCCTGATTTATTCTGTTTTTAAAAAACATTCAGAAGATATCTTTGTATCAAAAGAAATGCTGATGATTTTCTCTAGAATACGGACCCATTTGAATTAGTACTGGCCTTTCTTTCTCACTTTGCTGATTGCGTGTATTTGTGACCCTTAGATTATAGGGAATGGAAGTGAGCAGCAGCTGCAAAAAGAGCTAGCAGATGTGCTGATGGATCCTCCAATGGACGACCAGCCAGGGGACAAGGAACTTGTGGAAAGGTCACAACTGGATGGTGAAGGAGATGGACCTCTTTCTAACCAACTCTCAGCTTCATCCACCATTAACCCTGTGCCATTAGTAGGGCTCCAAAAACCAGAGATGAGCTTGCCAGTGAAACCTGGACAAGGAGGTTAGGACTGCTGCATTGCTTGCTTAACTGAAGGTTATTGTTTTTAATATGTGAGTGCCTACCCTGTACTAGGTTTGATTCAGAGCAAGCAAAAACCGTTATCTGTGTTTTCTAGAATGTTCAGATTCTATAGGTATATGTACCATTCTCATTTCCCTTTAAATGTATGTCATTGATATCAAAGAAAGAGATAACAGTAGTTAAATGACATTGAGGAAGTCTTATTTCAGAATGTTTCAAGATTTTTCCAAGGAAGAAGGAATTTGAGTACAGTGTTGGAGATGTGGAGGAATAATGCTAGGGGAAGAGATATTTGCTGCAGGCCTGTATAGATAGCTCTTTGGGAGTAGTTGCCAGGTTTTTTTAAAAGGGAGCCAAAAGGCACCGCAGAGGAGGAGGAATAGGGGAATTATAAAGGCTCATTGGGAAAAATACAGTGTTAAAACTATGCAGCTTTATTGGGAAAGGGAAACCAGGGGTATTGGGAGAACATTAAGTGGCTAAGATGATGAATGAGAGAAATAAAGCAATACAGATCAGGAAGAAGACAGAGATAGGATTTTTCACAGTGGCAAAATACTAAATATATTTTTGACCTAAATGTAAATTATAAAGTCAAAACAAATTAGAAGAAGCAAAAATGTAAATCAGATCTAACCTCAGATCACATTTTAGATTTGGGAATGACAGTAAAGCAATCCCTAAAAATTTTGGTGTTAGTGACAGTTTTAATGTGAAATTTCTGGCTTTAATGGGCAATTCTTCTGGGGCAATGACATATTATCTCATTAGTTCTTAAGTGTAGACCTAAGTGTAACTTTTAGGTTTTTACTTGGTATTCATGTCAACAAAATACTAAAATGAAAGTAACTTTCCATTACCATTTCTTTCAGATTCTGAAGGGTCAAGTCCTTTCACACCAGCTGCTGATGAGGACAGTGTAGTTTTCAGCAAACTAACTTATTTAGGCTGTGCCTCAGTAAATGCTCCCAGGAGTGAAGTGGAAGCCTTAAGGATGATGTCCATCTTAAGAAGCCAGTGTCAGATTTCCCTAGATGTAACCCTGTCAGTGCCGAACGTATCTGAAGGAACTGTGAGGTAAGACCAGTTTCTTGAAATGTTCAGATCAGATTTCTGACCTACAGATTTAGAAAGAAGCGGTAGTGAACAAAATACATAATTATTTTATTCATGTAATGTTTAATTCACCTGGCGCTTATGTCTTCCAAGGATTGTGACCCATATGAAAATTAGTCACTCATTTGAACAGTTTTTTATATTCTTCCCCACCCTAGTTGTGTGTGGTACATTAAAAATTTAAATGTTTTGGAGATAACATATTGAAATATGTTGATCTGAAAGTATGCCTGACAATTTATATTTCTTGTGTTCCACCAGTACAGATACTAGCTTGACACAGTAGTTCAATATGAAGTTTCATATTGAATCTAACAGAACATATTAGAATCAATAATAATATTGACATATCAGAATCAGCATTTTTTAAAAGATTTGTTTATTTTAGAGAGAGCATGCACACATGAGTGGGGGGAGGGGCAGAGGAAGAGGGAGAGAGATTCCTCAAGTAGACTCCCCACTGGCATGGAGCCTGATGCAGGGCTCGATCCCAGGACCCTGAGATCATGACCTGAGCCAAAAAGAGTTGGACGCTTAATAGACTGAGCAACCCAGGTGCCCCTATTAATGTGAAACTTCTCATAAAATTTGTTTAGTGCTCATTTTTATGTCCTTCTTAGTAGTTATTGCCCAGCTGAAGTTATACTTTGTTCTGATACATTTTAATTCTGTAGACATAGAAAAACCAGTTTCTCTTGCCCATGTTTCCAGAGTTTTCATCAGAGTGCCTTTGAATGTGAATTAGGTCCCCTTCCTGTGTATTATGCACAGGGACCCTTGGGCTTTCCTCATTAATGGCCCTGCCCATTTAGTGTTGAAATTGCAGTTTCTTTTCATTACTTTCATATTTGTGTCTTCAGCATCCAGAACAGAACCTGGAATATTGTAGGTATCATGTAAGTATTTGTGAACCAATATATATTTGAATGAATGACACACCTTTGATTTTCAGTAAATGGCATCCTTTTGATTTTAGTAATTATCTTTTTTTAGGTGTTAACATTTTGTACACTCTTATTTGCCATGAATCAGAAGAGTATGTTTCACTCTGAGAAAGTACATCAGTTTTTTATTTTTTAAATAATACAGCAGATTAGGTCATTTTTTAGGAGGTAATGAGAAACACAGCTTTAATGATTCATTTTGGTAGTCTAATTTACCCATTGATCTACTCTTTATTTAGGTACAGACTATATAGGAGAAACCTGTGTACTTTATCTTTCTGCTTGCCTCCCTAAAGCATAAGATTATGTAGGTTTTAGTACCATGGAATTATGTAATTAATAACTTCAGGAATCCACATATGACTTTTTTTTTTTTTAAAGATTTTATTTTATTTATTTGACAGAGACACAGAGAGGGAACACAAGCAGGGGGAGTGGGAGAGGGAGAAGCAGGCCTCTTGCCGAGCAGGGAGCCCGATG